CCCCCCCAACTTTGATAAACTAGACAAAGACACCCCAAACATGACAATAGTACATACTTGCCCTTTGACCTCTCAATTGACCCATGTAAATTGTTAAATTACCTTTATAACCTCATTTTAATTGACTAAACTGACCCTCAGAAACATTGCCCACAGAGGAGCCACCGCCGCCACCACAAACCTCTTAGCACCACCAACTCTTCTTTTATCTTCCATCACACATAAACAGTACAAATATTTGCACACAACAGAGGCCATGTCCGTCACGGTACCCATATATGGGTAGATATATAATTGTGTGTGTGTGTGTGGGTAGATATATATATATATATATATATATATAAGAGAGATATATATATATATATATATATATATAAGAGAGAACATGAAGAGACAAAATCAACGAGCAGAACCGCCAGCGAAAGGATTGGACAGCGATGAGATCTGTCAGGCGAGCTTGAAACAGTGGAGGCGATGTATGGCATCACCTGGATTCGCTTCGCCGCCGACCATGACTTTGTGATGCTCCACAACAACGCCAAAAACTTCCCGGCGGTCCTGTCCTTGGTGGCCCCACCGCCCCTCTGCCCGAACGACCACGTTCTTTCCGTCAATGTGCGGCCAACAAGCTCTCGTCGGGTCACGCTCCTAGTGGTCTTGTCCTTGGGTAAATCAATCTGGCTCGGATCAAGATAGGGCTCCATGGTCGCGTCCTCGGGCTTTGCACCGCCGGTTGTCGCAGTTCTTTTTCCTCCAAATCAAGCTTTGTAAACCAGTCATGTATTGTGATGAAGATCGACTCCGTCGATGTTCTTCAAAGACACAGACTTATGTACTGTGTGATGGTGGGTGTGATGGGGGAGACTTGTGAGGATTGAGAGGTTGGGTATGGGGTTGATGATAAGGGCGATTGAGGAGGAGTTGAGAGTGATTTGGTGTTGGCTCTACTGGTGGCGGTGGTGGTGGCGATCCCGTGGTTTGAGATGTGGGTGAAAGAGGAGAGGTAGAGAGAGAATGAATAGGAAGAAGAAGAGGGAGAAGTGAGGGTTATTTTGGTCAATTAAAAAAATTCACATGCTCAAATTATAAGTCAAAGGGTAAATATGTACTTTTATTATGATTGAGTGTCTTTGTTTAGTTTATCAAACTTGGGGGGTGTCATTGTTCAAAAAAGGTCTAAGTTGTATCTAGGTGTTTTTAAGCCAAACCTGGTGGGTGGTGAGTGCAAATTACCTTAAGATAAATTTACAACTAAACTAAATGACTTAAAACCCATAAACATTCCTACCCTTGTTAATGCAATTTCAGTCTAGTCTTCTTAGGATCTTCAACTGTTTGAAGAAAGTCCTATGTGGATAAAAAGAGTCAACTGTTTGAAGAAATTTCAACTGTTAACACAATTTCAGTCTAGTCAACTGTTTGAAGAAAGGCATCAATATGGGACCAATCGTCCATCGGTATGAGAGGAGACTAGGGTGGAAGAAACAATACCTTTCGAAAGGGGGGCAGATTAGTCTAATGAAAGAGTACCTTTTGAATTTGCCAACCTACTTCCTATCTTTGTTCCAGATGTTGGCTTCTGTGGAAAAAAAGAAGCTGCATAGGAACATTTTAGGTGGTATGGGGGAGGAGTTACCACCTAGTGAATTGGGAGCAGATTTGCAGGCCGATTCAGACTGGAGGGTTGGGGAATAGGCGTGGATATGCTTAATGTTGGACAAATGGTTATGGAGGTGCGAGGAACAGAGGCAAAGGCTATGGAGGAGGGTTATTTGTTGTAAGTTTGGGGAAGGCAGTGAAGGGTGGTGTTGCTTGGAGGTGAAGCTCTCGACAGGATAGGAGTGGGCGTGTGGAAGTTCATCCGGAAGGGGTGGGATGAAATTTCCAAACACATTCAGTTATATTCGGTTTAGAGTGAAGAGTGGGACGCATGTGATACGTGGTGTGGAGGTCGTCAACTTTGGGGGCCTTTTCAAGTATCTATCGGATTGGATTGAACAAACCCTCTACAATGGCAGATAATTATGGCCTTGATAGCAGGAGTTTGGTTGGGGACATCCAAGTTTGTGAGGCATCTTCAAAATTGAGAGGTGGTTGACTTTGTTTGGTTCTTGGTTTTGTTAACTAGTAAGCAGATAGATGAGTACACTTGGGCGGCTGTTTCTCATGAGAGATTTGAAGTCTGCTCTTTCTATAAGATATCGGTGGAGCCGCAGGGCATCACATTACTTGGAAGGCCATTTGACAAATTAAGCCCCAATAAAGGTGACTTTCTTCAATGAGACGACAGTCTCAAGGGAGGATTTAGACAAACAATAGTTTGAGGAGGAGAAGGAAGATTATTGCCAATTGGTGTTGCATGTGTAAAAGGGATGAGGAGACAGCGGACCATCTCCTCTTGCATTGTCCAATGGCACAAGAGGGATGGATCTGCTCCTTGCCCTATTTGGAGTGAGTTGGGTCATAGCGCTTTCCACAAGGAGCATGCTAGAAGCTTGCAGAGGGTATATAGTGGGGAAGCAAGCTCAAGCTACTTGGAGGATTGCCCCTTTGTTTGTGGTGGGGTTTAGGGGAGGAGAGGAATAAGAGATCCTTTGAAGGGGAGGAGACTCCTATTTGGGTGTTCAAACTCTATATTCTTAGTTCCTTTTTTTTTTTTTAAATACATGGTCGGTATTGTAAATCTATGGAGGCTCTAATATATTTGTTGGATAGTTTGAGGCCATACTGGATCTTTTTTATTTGTGTAGTTGTATAAAGAATGTGCTCCTCCATGAAAAAGAAAAAAGAAAAAAACCTTTAGGTTTAGTGTTGGGAATTGTGTCTCAAATTCCTATTCTAATTAGGTTTGTATTTTATAGTTGTATTCTGTTAGGAGATTTCTTGTTAAGCAAGTCTTGGTACTAAGAAATTATAATCCTTGTCTAACAAGGAATTGGGTTTGGAACTCTATAAATAGGCACCTTGGTTGTGGGTTGAGACTTATGAGATTGAGAGAGATGTAGTAGGGAATTAATGGGTGGAGGTAGTTTGTGGGTTGGTATAGTAGAAAAAATACCGGTGGCACTAGTAGCGAGGATATAGGCTCATGGAGTGCTATTGTTAACTACCATCTACTCTAAAAGCTTAAGCTATTAGAGAGGGTGTAACTTTAATATTTAAATCCTTCAACATGTCCCTTCACGTGTGGCCTTCTTTTGGTCCAACACGTGTTTTTCAATTTTTAATTACGGTGACGGTGAGGTTTGAACTCAAGACCTTTGGCTCTGATACCATGTTAACTACCATCTACTCTAAAAGCTTCAAGCAATTAGAGAGGGTGTAACTTTAATATTTAAATCCTTCAACAGGTATGTGGTAAAAAGACATGTACGTTGTGTTGGTACTCTATTGTTATAATATCTCTACGAATCATAGTGAAATCTCTTCTCATCCGTGGATGTAAGTCGGTTTTGGCTGAACCACGTTATATCTTGTGTTTGTGTGTGATTGCTTTGTTAGCTTCCTTTCAATCTCGTTGTTCTCACGCTTCTGCTGCCAACAAATTGGTATTAGAGCCGAAGGTGAAGGAGATCCAGAAAACTCAACAGGAGGGAATGGGTTTCAGTTGCAAGTGGAGTTAATCGGCTTAGTTGGTCACGATGGTTAGAAAACCATGATGGATTTTATGGCATGGAGTTCGAGTAGCCGAGGTGGAGCTTTGGAGTTTGACTAATTGAGCAATGTGTAGTGTGGGCAATCATAGTTTTGCAGGACAATCGACAAGATTAAAGCTGCAATAAATCGTCCTGATCAATGCCGTGGGAAGCAAGAAAGTACCCGATGAAATTTAAGCCAAGATAGAGATTGTTATAAATTGTATCTCAAATTCCTATTCTAATTAGGTTTCTATTTTAGAGTTGTATTCTGTTAGGAAATTTTTTGTTAAGCAAGTCTTGGGCTCTAAGAAATTATAATCCTTGTCCAACAAGGAATTGGGTTTGGAACTCCATAAATAGGCACCTTGGTTATGGGTCAAGACTTGTGAGATTGAGAGAATGTAGTCTCATAAGGGACTTGATGGGTAGATGTATTTTGTGGGTTGGTAGAGTAGGAAAAACACCGGTGGCACTGGTAGCAATGACTGGTATGTGGTGAAAAAACATGTACACGGTGTTTGTACTCTACTGTTGTAATATTTCTACGAATCATAGTGGAATCTCTTCTCATCCGTGGATGTAGGCCAGTTTTGGCTGAACCACTTTATATCTTGTGTTTGTGTGTATTGTTTTGTTGGCTTTCTTTGGATCTCGTTGTTCGCGTGCTTCCGCAGCCCCAACATTCTGCATACCAACTTCATGGCTCCGAATTTTCAAAATTGTTTTCTAACGGCAAATAAATGTGCATTTAAACACTGAAAAATCAAAATATATATTTTAAGAAAAATTAGGCTTTATTGCTGAACCTTCACATATAGGAAGGCAACCAATAGAAGGTATGAGGCTCTGCTACTGTAAAGAGAGTATTTTCCTGTGTTGGGTGGGAAAGAAAGTAAAGAGGGCTTCCAAATACTTTCTTTTTGTTTCTAAATACCATCAAAACAATAGCATACAATTCTTTTAAACTTAATTTTTTTAAAAAAACATCCATGCAAATAAATTTTGTACAATAGAAGTCTCCTGTGCATATAGAGTGTAGGGTATGCAATATAGCAAGAGCAGTCAAGATTATGTTCATATTGGCAATATCCTTGTATTCCACATACATGTAGCTTTTTCTTTTCGCGTGTTCCTCTCGTCTATCTCAAGTCACTAAAATATGACTTAGTTAAGGTGCCCAGCAGAAGTCTGGCTAATTGTTTAAGATGATAATTTTCAATTCAATGTATAGAATCACACTCAAAGAAGTGTTACAAAGCACCTAAGAAAATAGAAAATACTAGTCATTACCGCATGACAAAAGATAAAAGATAACATAAAACGTAGTTCATGGAACAGGGCAAAGGGGCAAAGTTCTATTACCTAATGCTGAAGTTGGATCAGAGTTCTTCTCAAACACATTGGTCCAAGCAAATGCTGTCTCTTTCCTGTTATTCTGTGGAGTATATCCATCAACACGTCCCATCTGCAAAATAGATTCATAAATTGTTAGGCAGTTCGGTCAGACTAAAACCCTATAAACCTAGGCATTTGTATTGACCTTGAAATTAGTCATAGATGAACTCCTTTTCCTTAGATCAATACAACTTCAGTTGGCTAATTTCATACAAAACCGAGTCCTAAAGTTTCAATTTTAAATTGTCTATGCTTTTGAAAGTTGGTTGAGTTAGTTAGGTGTTACTTCTATCCAAGGATTTAACAAGGGTAAAAAGGTAAGTTCACCTCTCAAATCTCAAGTGCTTCCTCACCAAATTATGATTTTTAAGCATGCATTCACGTTATTTTTCATGTTTCGATTGCATTATATAGACATTTAAATGCATAAAACTGAGTTTTAAAATTATATTGAAACAGGAGTTCAATCAATGGAACCTATTGACATTTCTGTTTCAATTCAATCGATTGACCATGTCAATGGATCAATCCAACCTAGCGGTCTGCAGTTTCCAATTTGGTTTCTAACAATAAAGGCTTACTTTACTCAGCCCTAAAAAAATTTAAACAGCCATAGGGTTTCAAAACTAATACATAGAAGCAACCAAAGCATATTGAGAGCATATAGGGTAGCATGTTTTATTCTATTATTATCATCATCGTTGCATAAAGATGGTGAGTGATTTGCCAGAGCTTGATTACATACTATTTAAAATCTTCAAAGAGATCAGTACAAATATTCCCATACAAAGTATGGTGAATGCAAAATAAAAATATAATTCTAAAACTCAGAATAAAACTCTCTCTATATGTATATGACTTGTTTTTATTTTGCCTTAGCATGGTACTTTTATAGGCAAAGTTAAAATATATACAGAGTGGGGTTTGTTGTGTTTTAATTCAAAACAGAAACTGATTTTTTTCAGGGCTCGATCAATTGAAGAGCTGGTCAATCAATTGACGCAACTCCAATGGCCCTCGATTAATTGAAATCTACTGTAATTTTAAATTTAGAAAATTTCAGAATCGGAAGTTTCCAGAAACATTTTTATGCAAATTTAAAAACTTAGGGAATCATATCAGATCAAAACATGTAAAAATTAGAAATCCTAATAATGTATGCATGGAACCTAATTTGGTGAGTGCATAAATGTGTCAATTTTACTTTTTACTCTTGCACAAGAAGATTACGCAATTATCCTTGACTGTAGCTTCAAATTTCTTCTTTAACCATGAGTAGGAGTTAACAACTAACATTAACTAACTTTTGAAATTTCTAATACAAGCTAGAAATTAAAACAAAAGTTGCAAACTCTAATTTTGTTCTATGCCCACCCAAGTCTTATTGGCCTACCACCCTTATTTACTTTTAGATTCACACACACACGAACACATAGGTATCTCTTCTCTTAAAATTGGGGCTCGTAGCCCTTTCTCAGTTGCACCTCACCCATCAACTCCTAGAGTCTCAGTTGGTGGTCATCTACTGCCAACGTCGTAAGCCTCCGGCACAATCAGAAACTCATGGCATGGTGGAGGGAGATAGTAGGAAAGTTCAGTCCTTACTCAGTCCTTCAATAGCTTTTAATTAGCTAATTATAGATTCATATAAGTCAAAATAAAATGTTACATTGGGTCATTCAGTCATAATTTCAAATGGAGTCGGTGTCAGTTGATGGTATGAAAATACTCCCTAATGGCGAATTCCAAAACCGGCAAGAGGTTCCTCACTCTTCTTTGACCTATCTTAGGGCCATGAATCCATACTCTGCATGGAGTAGTAGGTTGGAGTTCTAGTCTAATCGCTACCATACTACTTGCCTGTAGTTAGGGGTGATCACATATCGGATCGGTTTGGTTCGGTTTGGGATAAAGTTCAATTCGAATCGGTCCTCACAGAATGGAGAAATTTGAAATCGAACCGATCCGTGGAGACCTTCAATCCAAACCAAACCGATCCGTTTCGGATCGGATCGGTTTGGGCGGATTGGGCTTTTCAAATAGCCCAATATAATTAAACTTTATGGACATTAAAATATCAAATTAGTAATTAAAATCTAGTAATTAAAACTAGAAAAATAAAATAGATTTGTAGATCTTATACTAGATAACATGCTAATAGTAATAGCAATAAAATTTGTAAATCATATACCAAATAACAGCAATAGATTTGTAAATTATATACTTAATAGCACAAAATATAAATTATCCAAATAGAATAATGAATAAAAAAAAAAAATTGAAATGCAGTAAGCATATTCAATATTGTATATATATATATATATATATAATATTAATATATTATTTAGGCAACGGTTCGGATTAGTTTTTTCATGACTCAATCCGTTAACCGAACCACAAATAGCGGATTGCTATTTTTCTAAACCATCACCAAACCATAAGATCTGAAAACCGAACCAAATCACACGGATCGGATTGGTTCGGACCGGATTAACAGATTGAAGGATTATTTGGTCACCCCTACCTATAGTAGGATCTATCTATTATTTTAGCCGGTCACTCGTAGTACTAGTGTTCTTTGTGATTCACAAAACAATAGTGACTAGATACCAGTATCACATCACCTTACGACACAACTAACAAGTCATTTATGATGAGGAGAGCAAAAGTAAAGTAAAGGAGATGGAAATTAACCAACTACGCCTTTGCCTCTCCATTCTCCACTCCCCGACAACTATACCTTCCACGACCACGGCCACGGCAGTCTCTGCAGTAGAACTATGGAAACAATATGATACAAGAAGGGTGAGGAAGAGGTCTGGGTGCTATTCTTGCAACAAGGATGGGATTGAGAGTGAAAACCCGTCTCAAGTTTCGGAAAGGGACGGAACTGAGATTGTTAATTGGGGCGAGGTAGGGTTTAGGGTACTCCTTTCCAAACCTGCCTTATTGTGATCCCCAAGTGCAAACCTTGTCCCTCGGTTAATTTTACCAATTGCATCGTACCAAATTAAAATTTTAACATATAAAACTTGTTAGTGCCCATTTAATAAGAAATTAAGAACCAAGAATTAGTCATGATCAAATCCTTCAAAAAATAAGTTGGCATGGCACATAGAAAAAAATATTCTAGTTTGAAGAGATTGAGTGAAGTAGGATCCGAAGAACAACATAAAGTATGCCTTTTTGTCATGCCCTACCTGGTTGGTGAGAGGTTTCACCACACAAGCGTACTGGCGGAAGCGGCTCTCAGCAACAGAACCAATGCGAAAATGACATCAAACTCTGAAAAAGAAAGACCCAAATTACCTATGGAAGACTTTTTTTTTTTCTTCCAAAGCTTTTAGGACACTATATGACATCTGTTAACTACCATCTACTCTAAAAGCTTAGCTGTTAGAGATGGTGTAATTTTAATATTTAAATCCTTCAACACGCCCCCTCGCGTGTGGCACTACAAACACTTTTTTTTTTTTATAAGTAATAATAAATTAAAAAAGGCATTCAATAGGGGAACGCGTCCCATAGACATAAGAGAAACCGAGAACTAAGGCCCCAAAGAATCCAAAAAACAAATTAAATCATCAGAAGAGGAACAAGAACTTCTGTTCACATAACTGAAGAGAGAACGTATAATAAAAAGTTTCAGTGTCGTTGTAGACGACTCCTTCTTCAAACATTCTACTATTTCTCTCCTTCCAAATGCACCACCAAATACAATGTGGTACAGATCTCCAATAATCACGAACACTCCTACTCACACGACAACCTCTCCAAGCATGAATCGGCTCCTTAGTAGAACGTGGCATTACCCAATACATGCCAAATAGCCCAAGAATAAGATTCCAGTAGTCGTGCACTACAAAACAATGCATTAGGAGATGATCGACTGACTCCCCATTCTGCTTACATATGCAATACCAATTAACAAAATAATTTCCCCTTTTCCTCAAATTATCGATCATCAGAATCTTACCCAAACGGCGGTCCATACAAAAAAAGCCACCCTAGCAGGAGCCATAAAGCGCCATATAGTCTTCTACGAAAAATCATAGGGTGCAAAATTAGACAAACATAAGAACAAAGACCTTACTTCAAAACGGCCGTGAGAAGAGGATATCTAAATCAAATTGTCATAACCCCTGCCAATTCCTTCCTGCCGTTACAATTGATCTAAGAAAATACTCACATCTTCTAACTCCCAATCCTGAAAAGAGCGCTGAAAAAGAACATTCCACGTAATTCCACTATTATCAAGCTGATAACAGTTAGCTACAATGGCATGTCTATCAACTGCAATACTATATAATCTGGGGAAAGTACGACATAAAGGCTGATTCCCACACCAAAGATCTTCCCAAAAACGAACACGACTACCATCATGAACTCTGAATCTAACATGAGGAGAAAAGGCATCCTATCCTTTCCGAATGGATTTCCAAGCCCCAACTCCTCCCGCAATAGAAACCGGACGTGTAGTCCATCCGCCAAAATCATCCCCATACTTGCAGGAAACTAATCTACGCCAAACATTATGGAAGAAAACAGTCTCAAACCTAATAACTTTGCTCTCCGAATCACCTTCCTTTGGTCCAATACGTGTTTTCAATTTTAATTTTAAGGGTGACTATGAGGTTTGAATTAGAGACCTTTGACTCTAATACTATGTTAACTACCATCTACTCTAAAAGATTAAGCTATCAGAGAGGGTGTAACTTTAATACTTAAATCCTTTAACAACATCTACATGGCACACTTGAGAACGAGGTTCTAAAGTGTTCCATATTTCTATAGAAATTGTAGAAGATTGTGGAGGATCCTAGAATAAAGGAGTGCCTTGTAGAGATTATAGAGAAGTATGGAGAACTCTAGACTGTTAAAGAATTTTGTAGAGATGTGTATATACCTTAGATATACTCCCTCTGTTCCATTATTGATGTCCACATTCAAAATTCACACATCTTAAGACACTAGCTTTTATTACATTGGTTTCCAAATTTATCCCTTTTAAATGTTATTCTTTGATGGGGTCCACCATTTTGACACTTTATTGTGGTTTATCTTTTAGGGGTAAATTGGGAATGTTAATAAAAATAGTGCATTGATTTTTGAAATGGGACAACTATTATGGGAAAACCAAAAATAGAAAAATGGACTACTAATATGGGACGGAGGGAGTATTAGTGTTCTAAAGTATAAATATTAGTCATCTCTTTCAAACGCATCCTAGCCACCCATTGAGGAGGTGTATGCCCACAAATAGGTTAATCATTTGCTTCACCAAGCACCAAGAGATAGTGCAAAGCACTAAGGCTACGTTTGCTTCGACATAAAATATCTTCCTCGGAAAATACTTTTCTCTTCAAGTAAAATATTTTTTTTATTTTCCGGTGTTTGGTTGGCAAAAGGTCATGTCATCGGGTGGCATGTAAAATAACTTGCCAAAAATTGATGGGTAAATTATTTTTGTTAGGTTTTAATAAAAATATTTTACTTAGTAAATATTTTACTTAATTTTTTGACAACCAAACACCAAAACATAAAAATAAAAAATAAAAAATAAATCTAAATATTTTGTATCCAAACAAACGGAGCCTGTGAAAGAAAATTTTATAAAAAGACAGTGAAACTCTAGTGACCATATTACTAAGTGCTTCACGTATTTTTGTTTTTGGTTTTACATTTATTTCATTAGCATTTTTGTTATTGTTATTGCCCAAGCCATATTACGTGCAACTTTATGACTAAGAAGGATTTTGCTTTGCTATATGGATCCTTTTCAGAAAGTAGAGGCAGCATACTGCAAGAATTGATTATTTATTATCATAGAGCACATATTAAGTCCAAAGAAAAATTTACAAATAGAATAACGGCATTAAGCAACTTTTTGTACCTTCCGCGGGAATGAGTTGTTTGCCACTTCTTCATCTAGAAAAGGAATCTTCAACAATGATGCAATCTAAGGGGCAAAAAAATAAATAATAAATATATTTAAACGACCTAATAAGAAGGGATTCTATGAGTTCAAGAGTAAGACTATACAATGTCATTCACTCACAATGTCATACGCCTTCTCCCGTTCCATGTGTTGGGCAGTTGTAACCTGAGAATTAAGCATCTGAACACCCCCACCGGCAATAAATAAATAAAGGAATAAAGGAATGATCAACAAACATAAATAAATAAAACCCCAATTCAAAATTTAATAATTCAAGAAATAGGAACATTAATACCTGATCAAGCACATTTCTTTTAGGGACTTGATTTGCTCCACTGGTACGTCGAGCAATGCAGTGAGGGATATTAAGAGGAGTGTCCTGTTGAGCTAGTCCAATTCGAATATTCGCAGAACCTAATAATTATAACACCACATTATGAGTCGAATAGTTACACTATATTTCCAGTTATACAAGACACTCTTTTGAGAGTGTTAGGGTTTGAGTACCTGGGTTGATGACAACCAGATTGGAGCCGCGTTCAGTTAAGAGTTGAGAAGGAACTGCTGATTTGAGGTAATCCTGAGAATATAAAGAAGTAGTTAGAGACGAAATTGCAAGAATCAGATTGAAGAGAGAGAAACTAGAGCAGGAGGACGAGGGGTGTTGTGGTACTCACCATGGCGGAGGACGAGCGGTAGGAAAGAAGGCGCGCTGTGGGTCTGCTCTCTGTGTGACTTTTACCAGGTAAAAATATGCTTACACAAATAAGTTTCATATTTGAAGTATAGGGTAAAGTACGATAAACTCGACTATGGGCTTTTTTCAGTGTCTCTGTCTAATTATTTACTAAAGAATCCCTCTAATTATCTGAGATGGTAAAAGAGTGAATGTTTTAACTAAAATATTGTTTTAGTACTTAAAAAATCGTATGAAACAATAATTTCATAAATATAAGATTTGTGCAACATGAAAAAAAATTCAGAATTATTCATTTATGTATAAAGCATAACATATAAACAATTTAGCCCTAACAAAAACCTATTATTTATTTTATTTTTATTTTTTTTAATGGTAACTCTATAAGAAAATGAAAATATCTTGATGCATAATATGATATCTTATGAAATGGTCTTTCTTGGGGTTAAATTTTTTATATGTTATGCTCCTTATGCAAATGAATAATTCTAAAAAATTTCTTACAAATATTCCAATTATTTTATATTTTAAAATAAGATTGCTAAAGCATATTCTTAAAAATAAAATAAGATTACTAGAGTATATTCTTAGATTGCCTATTTCTTTTTGGTTACGGCGATTTGTTACACAAATCTTATATTTATAGAATCCTTGTTTCATAAGTTTTTTATGCATACATTATTTGCAATTTTTTGATGTATAATTTGTGAGATATAAATTTTTAAAATTCGGATAAATTAGGATTTAACCACCCTCGATAGCTGGAGGGGGTTCTTTGATGTATAATAAAAAATAAAAAAAACAAAACAAAACAACTAGACAAGGGGCTTACTGAAAAAGTCTCATAGCCGAGGGGTTTATTGTCCTTTGCCCTTAAGTATATAAATATAAGTTCATATAAAGTGCAGATTTACAAAATACTGCATTTATTATTGTTGTTATTATTATTTTATATCTTATATATGTTGTATTAACCTTTTATAAATTATTAAAAGAAATTAATACATATTAACTTTATAATTAAGTTATTGAGAAAACTTGTATTAAAACAACCTAGTTAAATTACCTTCAGACTCCTAAGATTTGCAATTTTCACATTCAAATTGAATTATGTTAAAAATCACTCTAACCTCTCTTTAGATTTCAAGAAGAAGAATGTTCAATCTGTTATTATTATTATTTTTTCTTAGTTGATATTCACACACAGATGTCTTCAGTGAGACTCAAACCCCTGACCTCTCTTTGAAAAGGAGGAGCCTAATCCTGTTAGGTCACTGCCATGTTGGTGTCCAATTCGTTATTTAACTATTAACTCCATCTGAAAAAAAATTTGCAATGCCAAATTTACCTTTTAAATGGATAAAGTTACATTTTAGACTTTAATTAATATATGTGGTTTGACAAAATTAATCCCAAATTTATAACTAAAAGGCACGAGATTGAGGGCATTTCGGTCATAAATTTGTGACTAATTTTGTCACATCACGTATTAATTAGGGTAAAAATGATTTTTTACCATAGTTGAATAATTTTAAAATTATCAGAAGGATAATTTTAACATTGCAAAAATTATTTTAAAACTCGGCCTACTTGTTTCTTTGTTGAAACCTTATGAGGTTAGATTGATTTTTTACCATAGTTGAATCTAAAAGTGAAAGTTACAAACAAAGTAAATTTACCCTGAATTTTGTAGTTTAATTGTTAGCTAGGCTATGTTGCTTAATAATATTGATTCATGTCTGCTGCGTGCTACCATATGTACATTCCTCAAAACGATTGCTTCTACAATTTCTTAAGATGCTCATTCACTCACCACATTCCACCTCCACTAAAAAGTAAAAACCTTGCATACTTTTTTGCTGCAATAGTTGAAACATGAAATGTTTGTCAGTCATGGACTATGATGCTAAAATGTTTTTGGTGTTTTTCCAGATTTAGTAGCATATAAAGACTGGGAGAATATTTTACTCATAAAAACTTCCAAAAAAAAAAAAAATACATATTTTACTTGTAAAACATTTTTCATAAAATCTTTAAAAATGACCAAAGCTTCCTTACCAATGTCCATGTGTACTAATGGTTGGCCTCTTTTTGCTTGTTACTTATATTCGTGCAATAATAAAATGAAGCTTTTTGCTAGTAGACCATGATTGGAGGTTCAATGAAATTTTTCATGAACCACCTCATCTTCTCTCTTCTTTTTTAATTTCGGGCTGTTTTCCAACGCGAAGTTGTGATTCATACATGTAGTGGCTCGTGAATCCATTTTGAAATATATTATGTGTTGTTTATTTATTTACGGAATGTTTTAAAAAATATGCACCCGTGCTCACAATATTAACCCTAGTATGGGTTTAGGACTCCAACCTCCCCCCTAGTAAAGGAGAGAGATCATACCAACAGGGCTAACGCCTATTGGTGATCTCATTTTTCGATCACAAGGTTAGAGATGAAATAAGCTTGTTTCTTTGGTGATTGGTGATCTCATTTTCCGATCACAAGCTTTGAGATGAAATAAGCTCGTTTCGTTGCTGATTAACGAGATGAATAATACCATAGGTACGGCAGAGTCAGAGGTAGGTATCAATGAAGTGATTAAGACTTTTCTATAGATGGTCCTGTGGTCCAATCTAATCAAAACTCTCCAACTAAAAAGAGTAAACTCACAAGAGTTTAATAAGACACCACAAAGAAACCTAGCCTGATCAAATTGAACCACCAAGTCGTCGATGCTCTAAAACCATTTAATAATTTCTTCAATGAAAAGTCGGTAGGACAATCTGCTATGACTTTGGAGAGCCGGCATTCTTGTCATCTGTTTTAAGGTAAGACAGGAATGTTTCTGATGGCATCAAGCTGTCCCTGGATCCTGATGAATTGAAAATAAGCCAAACCCAACATACATTCATGCACAATATAAGAGATGCTACATTCATGAAACCTAAGTAATGGGAAAATGATTGAGAGTCCAACTGATTGATGTCATTATAATGTCATCCGCATAAAATTAATCAAATTTGTCCGACTATGGATTCCCTGTCATTACTCCAAAGCAATTTATATCTTAAGATGGTAATGACACATTGTTCTTTTATTCAAAAATTAAAGTTGGCAAAGGTTAGCTGGGTACAACCTCGGTGAAATACCTTTTCGTCTCCTTGGTTTACTCCAGATAACCAGGAAGATGTAGATTGACTTCAACCACTAGAATTGAGTCAAATTCGAAACCATAACACCCAAACATTTACTCCTCATAGGTAAGCGACAACCACCATTGCCAATAAACAGCCACAATTGTAAACACTATGAATGATACCACTTTCATGTAAAAGTGCCCGTTTTGTCTTTCTTAATTCAAACTCAACTAGTTGTAACAAGAATCCTAAACTTTTTGCAGAAAGTCATTTTGCAATAGCACAAAGAAAAAAGAAATAAATTTCACACGTGTTCTTTTGAAGTGACAATACCTCTCTCCTGGAACAAGGGCTTGCGACGAACCTGTTATGTTTGAAATCCAAAAAAGAGGAGAAGAGAAGAGAAGAGAGTTTACAGCATCAAATATTGGACAAACTAGTTTAAAAAGAAAAGGTCGATGATGTAAAACAGAGCCGCAGAGAAGCCACTCCACAACCTCAAATTTGAACACCTCCAGGCCAACCAAATTTCCAGCTATTTGTTCTTTGATATTTCTAGCCTGTCTTTGTTTTTGGGGTCTTCTTTTTGAGCTGTTTCCTTGGAATTGAGTTCTTCATCCCTAGGAAGAAAATCAGCGCGCCAAAAAGTGCCACGCACTGCCAAGAAAAAAGGCCCAGCCAACCGAAGGTTAGTTTTAAAGCATAAATATATACAGACATATATGATAGTGTGTGTTTGTGTGTGTCGAGAAACATATCAAAACAAATCAAACAAACCTGCAGAAATTCCTGTAGGAGTACAAAAAATTCTGGATCTCCAAGGTCATAATTGTAGAAGTCGTACAAAAGTGGGGTGGCGTATGCCAAATGGTACAGCTACAAAAGGACAACAAATACATTGTGATAAAATCAGCTGTAATAGGAAGAAAATAAAAAATCAATCTACAATTTCATCATGAATGCATGATCAAATAACTAAAAGAAATAAATAACTTGAAAGAGCAGAAGTCCTAACCAGTAGGTAAGCACCAAAGGTGCTGCCAAATACAAATAGAAAGCCACCAAGCCCTTTTAGAAAAATGGAGGCGCCAACAAAATGCTTAACCTGAACAAAGACATCCGAATTACAAAAGAATTATACATGAAGCAAGGTGCAAATGAACCCAATTCATCAAGCAAACAAAAAGAAACCAATAAAACAATAAGAGCCTTACGTCAATTTTTAGGACCCCTTCTCCCAATTTAGAATCCAGAAACTTCTGGGGAACTACTAGTTTGGGAGCCAATTCCTTTGCTGCAGGTCCACCATCTACACCAAATTCATTGAACCTATGCAGATGCACACCAAATTAAAAAAAAAAAAATGCATAGTATTCTTCCACTAACAAGTGAATAAGCAATTAAGGGCCCAGTCACAAAATTGGTTAAAACTTGAGAAACAGAAAACTAAATCCTCATATGCATAACTTGTTTTATCAGTGTCTGGTTTCAAAATTGAAAAAACCATTACAGCAATCATATATATGATAACACTCCATGATCAGTTTCAACACCATAATCAGCCGCTCGACCAAAATGGTCATTTTCACCAGAGGCTATTCAAATCTAACATGGAAAACATCAATAATCTAAAGTTGCACAAAGCCCAACCTAATCACAAATTGCCTAAAGCAAACGTTTTTGGGCGCATGTTTGCAAGTCACAAAGATGGCAATCAATTAAACACACTCATGAATAATGGAAATGAATGCATATTTCCTATCAAAATTCCCTCGTAAACTAGATCATTGGCAATATCACTAAGCACTAACAATCCGGTCCTCAAAATGCCCGACACGTGTGATGTACAAAACTGAGAGAATAGGCGCTCATCAAGGAAGGTGTTATTGACCTTTAGATGTTCAACGTATTTAGGATAATGAGTCATGTACTCATGTGTTAGCAAATTCCTACTCAGAACCTAGGTTGTAACGTTTGTCAAAGTCATGAAACGTTTGTCTACAATCACAAGAAGATGATGGAGATGAAGATCATGAAAGACACGCCGCTGATCTCTCAAGATTCAATCACACATCTAATTGAAAGGTAAACGAGACCAATAGACCATGTTTGACCTAGATTTGATCTTCAAATGGCTAAAAATAAGTACATTTTTAAACATCTGTTTTAAAAATGGGGGTTTCTATCCTGTGTTTTCTTAAAGATTTCTAACGAGTTTTAGACTGGAATTTTTCAAAAAAAAGTATAGCTTGGTTGAGAACTCTACCGATCGATATGTTCCAAGAAAAATTATACTTTAATATCTATTATATGTTTTCTTAAAGATTTCTAAAGAGTTTTTAGAATGGATTTTTCAGAAACAGTATAGCTCGATCGATACCTCTACCGATCGACATGTTCCCAGAAAAATTATATTTTAGTGAAAGTTCAGTTGATCATACCTAGATAGTAGCGGTTGACCAATAGCTCAATCGATTGACAGAGAGTCACTCGACCAAAAGCACGATCGATCGAACTGTTCGGATCTATACCTAGATCGTCCAACCTGTGCCATAGCCTCGATCGTTAATCTTAGATCCACCCCAATTGATCATTCTAAAACAACAGTCTCCACCGAAAGATTAAGTTCTTATAGGAAGCTTTAATATCAGATTTCAGTTTGTGAAATAAGTGCACAAGTTAAATTAGATATTTAATAACAAACACTTGCTATCTGCTTTACTCATACATAAAAATATTTTAATGTAATAATATGTTGCTTAACATATGTTTCTTTTTCTTTTTCTTTTTAGTGAAAACCAATATTTAGCTTTCCAATGAACCTGTGCTGAAATCCAATATAAAATCAGAAAGTGAAATTATTTATTCCTAGAAACACTTCAAAGAAAATATGTAGTTGTCCTAATTTTAACAAGAGGTGAAAGAACCTACAGGCCAAGTGATGTAGGTAAGTAGTAGAGTGAAAACAAAATAAATTAACAAGAAAGGTTTCATTAAGAAAACTAGTCGGGAATAAGACTGCAAAAACCATGTCAAGCACAATCAAAACCAATAGAATTTTGTGGGATCTGCGTCAAGATTTTGTACGATAATAGTAGCTCAGAAAAGATGGAACTAAACAGTCCGCAGAGATCTCTAATTCATTAGACTCATCATATCCATCACAACCAAATTGAAAGAACACTCATAAAGAAACAGTGACTTTCTATGGACGGACTTCTACGGAAAGCATAATACAAGGCTTAAGAACTCTTAAGATACATAAATATGATATTAATTTTCTAAATTTTTATAATCTTATGATTCTCAATCAAAAATATATAATTCAGCCTAAAGACCCCATCAATCCAGCATGGGATCCTGATTTCAAACCTTGCAAGTATATGCAGAAATTCTTATAATTTTTTTTGGTAAGATAGAAATTGGACACTGGAGCAACTTCACATACGACTAGGAGTTCCAGTAAACTGCACAATTTGCCTTATAATGTAATTGATGGTGTTATTGTCTATCGCTACAAAAGAGTAATCATAAATGACATCCAAAAAGAAAAGTAAGTTTTACAAAAATATCAGCCCGGAGATAGCTTCATGCTCAATTTGGTGGTCGAGTAAAGGTATGGATAAAAAGAAATTATTCAAGAGTAGGAAAAGGGTATAAACAGAAAATAAATTAATTTGGAACTGGGAAATAACAACCCTGCTTAACTGAGACTAATAAGGCAATTTCACCTGGATTGTTTTTAGGGTGAAGTGCAGAAAACACCCATCTACTATTGATATAGTGCCCCCCCGGTGTTCCCTAAATCCCCCTCATGTTTATAATGTGTTTAAACAAGGACCTTCTGACACGTTAAACTCATGCAAGAACTTAAATACCCTTCCAAAATTTTATTTTATATATTATTTAAAAATATATGCAAATGGGAAATGACAAAATTGGACATTCCCTCTCTCTCTCTCTACAATTTGCATAAATGACCCAACTAGATTAAATTCTTTAATTATTAATCCTTCCTATAATTGTCACTTACATCGTAATTAATAATAATTAGGGGCTATAATACTTTGATGTTTAATGTCCTCTCAGAATGTGATTGGGCAATAATGCTGGGGTATATTTATTAATACTGTTACCGAGATTGTCCCTGCCTTTTTTTTGCCTCACTATAAATCCCAATTTAAAGTAATTTAACATGGAAATTGAGTTAATATGATCAATTTTCATAATTTGAAAATAATGTTGATACTTTTCATCTTTATTACTATGGTTATGTCTTGAGTACCTCTAATTATTTGATGTATCAAACCGATAATATACGATAGTATATGTCAAGAATCGATTTTGATTGACCACATAAACTTCCAAGTTACATAAATTAATATTAAACCTACTAATGATTTAAAGTATTATTAACATATCATGGTAATTTTTCAAGTTATTCCATCAGCATCTTCTATAGTAAATTATAAAGAAAATAAAGAAATTTCTTTTGCATAGGTAATTAGGTATCATATTTAACCCAAATGACTTTAACCGCAATCTCACTGAGTGCAGTTCCAAACCTTACCCTTGATAAAAGGATATTTAAGTTCAGGATTTAGGAATTCTTGTAATTATCCTTATAATTTTGTATCAGTACCCTCTCCAGAGACGTCCAAGGCGTCGCTTTGGAACATGACTTTCGACATATCACTTCCCCCAAATGCAAATAAAGAAAAAAAAAAAAAAAAAAACACACACACAAGAAAAATGCCTTCATGTAGCGGAAACGAGAATGTTAAGGGTGAACCAAAAAGTTCTCCATGTCAGAGATTTGGTAGTACTTAGCTAGGACAATGTCCAATATAGCAAGCTTTAGATATTCATTGTGTTTCCATCATTAAAGTGTTTAAACTCGGGGGAGAGAGAGAGAGATTGGGTGCTTTTTCTGAGAGGTTAAAATTTGAAAATTAATATAACAATCGCAAGAAGGACATTTTTGGCATGTTAAAAGGGCAAAAAGGCCAAAAATGGAATAATACAAATACTTTATGTCGCATGTCACAAAAAAGTGGTTTTAGAGAGGTGTTTGCTACCTTTCTACAAAAGTAGGGTCTGACATCGCACAAATTAAAAAGTAGGGGGGTCATCGTGCACAAAATCTATATTAGAGGGGTGTTTTGTGCACTCAACCCTTGTTTTTAATAGTCAATGACCTAAGTAACGCATTGTCCATCGATAGCTTTGTCCATCGATAGCTTTGTCCATCGATAGTATTAAACCAATACATGAGAATAACAGAGGAAATTAACATGAAACCAAACCAGAACATCTTTACTTTCCACAGATCATATTGCATGAACAATGTGTGGAGCACATTAACAAAAGGTGAGACACAATTGGAGTTGGTCAGGATTGCTACACATGCAAAGCTTAATTGACCTAGGCCAATTATCATAATGTTGAACCACTGAGATAATGAGGACAACCAAACAAACCGTTGTGTAGGTCAGCTGGTCCTTTCTTCTAAGTTGAGAAGCATTATTTGATAACAACAAACTATGATGAACTTTCATCCAAGATCAAATATTTAGACATCTTACATTGCCATTTGCACACTCACTTTTAATTTATTCTGGAAAATACAATAAAATAAAGCACACTAATTAATGGGACTAAAACCCTAGACATCAAATCAAAGGATTCAAATGAGGAGGGGTAAAATGAGAGTCCTGTGAAAGATCTATCAGCACCAGGACATCATAATAAGAAACACTAGTTTACTTAAAAGTAATAGGACAAGAAGTTCAAATGGGGGAAAACACATATAAGAAGATGAAAGGGGAAAAAATGAAATAAAGAAAGTTCGCATAGGAGGGACAGGAACTCTTTGGAGTCAAAGGAATTGTTTATGGTGGTAGTGTGTTGGTAAATGTGAACTTACCCAAAAAATTTTAAAAAATAAATAAATAATGGCAGTAGTAAAGGTGATAATGGAGATTATGATGACTATCATGTTGGAGGCCTAGTTTAAAATTTTCATTTAGGCCTCCACTTGAAACAATCCGGCACTGCATTCCACTTGAAAGATGATAGAAGCAATCAAATATAGCTCTAGCAATAATGTTTACTTCAAAATCACAATTTTAAATTTCAAATACATTCAGTCTGTGTGGTTGCCAGGTTTGAATTAGGACTGATTTCAACTCACCCAAAAGAGAACACCCATGAAAGAGAGTGATGGTGAGATTGGGACTCATAGAGTCAGATATTTAAATAGGTCTTCAATTAAATAATTTTGAGGATTGAACTAATCATAAAATTTGAAGGGAACAAAATGACCACCTATGCAGCCCAAATTAAGAAATCAAGTAAATTATATCCACCATTAAAGGTAATGAGTGAAGAACTAATCATTATAACAACATATAATAATACACTACAAAACCCACATATAATACACTAAAAAACCCAAAAAGAACCAGAAGAGGTCGGGAAAAAGAAAATGGACCCCACACAACAAAATGATCAAATGAGTCACAGATTATACACTATTTGACATCTGAGAAAACGAAAACCCTTCACTGAACAGACCCTAGTACAGCTTCTATTTTCTTCCAGAAATGAACAACAAAACAACACGATACAATATCAAATTTTCTCTTACTTTCCTTACCTTTCTCAGCGATGAAACAGATCAGTATAACAGCAACAAAGTAGATTCACATCAAAAGAAGCACCCTATAAATCAACAATTTATCTAGTGCAACAAAAAACTAGATCTGACAATACGCAACATTTATACATACATAAATACATCCGAATGAATTCATACATAAATATATGTAGATTTATTTGAACCCTTATGAGATGAAGACGATACAAATAGAGAGTACGTCGATAATTTTCAAATATATGTATATAAAAAAAAATATATATATATATATAGAGAGAGAGAGAGAGTGTGTGAGAACTTACATTTGCCAAGCAGAAAGGATGAAGAGAGAGGCGAAGAGGACCCTTCCGAGGAAGGAAAAGAAACCCATTAGAGAGAGAATAGCGGAACTCTTCGCCTCCGAACACTAGAAGTGAAAATGAGAGATTACTTGGTGTTGTTGGTGGTGGTCTTAATAGAGTCAACAAAAGAAAAAGAAAAAAAAGCAGCCAAATCGGAATATCAGAAAACTGATATTAACACGCTAATTCGATTCCTCATCCCAAAGTAATGCTATGGTGAGATCTACTCCATGATAGTTGTCATGAACTTGATTTTAAATTAGTACAGTACATTTTAAACACATAAAATTATGAGTTAAGGGCACGTTTGGATACTGCTTCTGCTTTGTGTTTTTTACTTGAGACAGTGTACTGAAACGTTTTTTAAAAAAATGTCAAAATCGTGAGCACCAAATAAGTGGTTTTGGTTGTTTCGGCACGGTAGCAATGAACATTACCAAAAAAAAAATATATTCATAAATTATCATTTTAGCTAGTCATTTTATCTTTTAAACTTGCAACATTTTTTTTTTGTCAAACATGTTTTCATGATGGAAAATCTTATGCTTAACGAATTTTGATTTGTGATTTTATCTTAAATTAGGTGACTGATATTTGTCAACTTACTTGTGTGTTTTAAAAGTAATTTTTTTAATATAGGAAAATATTTTAATATAGGAAAGAGAGAACAATAGAAAAACTTTATGATTATTGAATTCAAACCCTCGTACAGCTAACAATTTCAATTTATTTGGGAGACTCTTTCGGTTAAATCTTCAAATAATTAAAACTATCTAAGTAACAATTTTTTACCATTAATGAGTGATCTCTTTCTTGTCAAATAATTTACATAATTCACTTAAAACTTTTTATAATTATATTTTGATTTGGTATTTTTTTTATTAAGGTTAAATTTTGAAAGAGATATCCAAGAAGAGTATATACTTGTATTTATAATATAAAAAAATTAGTGATTAGCGTAATTGTTCCTTCTTTTCTTTTCTTTTCCTTCAATTGACAATTTGTTAGTTTACTAAAATAAGAAACAGAAATGCATGAAAGAATAATATGTATTAAAATAGAGGATATTAATGTCTTTTTGTTATCGCCACATCAAATTCAAGGTGAAATCTCAAATTTTAATTCCAAATGTATAGTGATGCTCTTTCATGTTAAAGTTTCAAAAAATGTAATAACAAATATACATTACCAAATATGTTTTCGAATAATATTGAATACATTTCAAAATAAAAACGTTGCTTCTATTTTAGATCAAAACAAAACACAAAGCAAAAAGGGTTCCAAAACAGCGTCTAATCATCCCTTTGATGAGAAATTAGATAAAATAAATAAATAAATAATAAAAACCGTAATCTTATTGTAAACTAAAATTATACTAATCCTGTCGCTTAAGTCATAAGAAAGAAAATATAAAATTTTGATTGATTTGTATGATATGATATATAATACACAATTTTGATAGTATAATTCTTAGTGAGAATTACATTAAACCTCTTGATTTGGTGTTTTGCCTTAAATCCCCTTTTTATTTATTTTTTTTGATTTGGTGTTTTGCCTTAAATCCCCTTTTTATTTATTTTTTTGCAATTCGTATTAACTAATGTTTTGTTTGATGACACTGAATCAATATCTTGAATTTGGGATTGAAAAAAATTTAATTCAAAATTTGAGCTAAGTTTCCTTTAATTCCAAATCCAATGCCCTAATTCGGTGCTTCCAATCATAATATAAAAAATATATTTTCTTCTTTCTTTTTTTTTTCTTGAATAATCATATTTGAATTATATTTTTTTGTTAGATATACTTCTAATTCAAGAAGAAGAAGAAAAAAAATTCATAGTGGAGGAATTGCATAAATCCCCCTTAACTTGGTGGAGGTATTTAGCAAAAGTAACCCCCACAAGATTAGTTAAGAAGGGATATTTTTTTGGGTAATAAGTGAAGGGTTTTATTTTATTCCATTCACATTAATTCTTATTCAATCCTCTTTCAAACTTTTACATATCAATATTTGTACATATGATCGCTCATGACAACTGCAATGGCATAGACCTCACGGTAGTAATATATCCTTCTTTATTTCTACCCAACCAGATGGATTAATAATGATAGTAGACTTTTTAATCATTTATGGGAAGCCACTCGGTAGATCGCGTGATAATTTTCAATAAATGTAAGATAAATTAATTATATATTTATTAATACTTAAATATTAATGAAATTAATATTTCTAGTAATCACAACTACTAGGAAAAAAACTTTCTTGCTCTTTATGGAAGGAAAAATTGAGGTTCCAATCCAACTTTCTAGCATGAGGAGAAAAACTTTCTTACATCCCTTACTTCTATTTTGGATCAAAACAAAAACATAAAGCAAAATCTACTGTAAATTAAAATTATACGTGAAGTCAAAAGGAAGAAAATATAAAATTTTGATTGATTTGTATGCTATGATACATAATACACAATTTTGATAGTATAATTCTTAGTGTGAATTACATTAAACCTCTTCATTTGGTGTTTTGCCTTAAACCCTCTACCTATTTATTTTTGTGCAATTCTCTCAATTGTGTGAATTTAACTAATGCTATGTTTTATGGCACTCAATCAGAATTTTGGATTTGGAATTGAAAAAAATTTAATACAAAATTTGAACTAAACTTACTTGCATTTTTTTTTTTTAATCATATTTGAATTTTTTTTTGTTTTGTTAGATGTATCACTGTACTTCTAATTCAAGAAGAAGAAAAAAATTCATAGTGGGGAAATTGCATAAATCCTCAACTTGGTGGAGGTATTTAGCAAAAGCAACGCCCTCAAGATTAGTTAAGAAGGTTTTTTTTTTTTTTTTTTTGGTAATAAGTGAAGGGTTTGATTTTATTTTATTTTATTCCATTCACATTAATTCTTATTCAATCCTCTTTCAAACTTTTATACTTTATGGTATGATGCTCATGATAACTGCAATGGGATTAGACCTCACGGTAGTAATATTTCCTCCTTTAATTCTATCCAACGAGATGAATTAATGATAGTAGACTTTTTAATCATTTATGGGAAGCCACTCGGTATCGTGGACCGCGTGATCATTTTCAATAAATGTAAGATAAATTAATTATATATTTATTAATACTTAAATATTAATGGAATTAATACGGAAGAAAAAATTCACATTGCGTCCTTTGCACATCCGTTGCACCATGCGACGATTGTAAGGAAGTTTTTCTCCTATGTATGGATGGGAAAATTTACTTTCCAATCCAGCTTTATAGCATGAGGAGAATAAATTCCTTGCATTTGTTGTACTGTACAACGGGTGCAACAAAGTTTCTCTCCTATGGAAGAAAAAATTCATGTTCCAATCCAACTTTCTAACATGAGGAGAAAATTTTCCTTATGGAAGGGAAAATTCATGCAACAGACGCAAGGAAGTTTTTTCTCCTATGAAAGGGAAAATTCACCTTCCAATCTAGCTTAATAGCATGAAGAGAAAAACTTCATTGTGTACATTAATTGCACCGTATAACGGGCGCAAGGAAGTTTTTCATGTAAGCAAAAATTCACATTCCAATGCAAGGAAGTTTTTCTATTGTTTTGAAAAAAAACGAAAAAAGAAAAAAAAGTATATTGTTGTTTTCTTAATTTTATTTTTTATTTTTTGATTCAAATAATTATATAAGTTCAAGAAAGACATTACTAAATCATCTAATTATATGTATTTTTATTGTTTTATGTAAGTCAAGATAGTACAATTAAGAGCTAGGATATTACTAAATCGTCTAATTATATATATATATATATATATAAGTCAAAATTGTACAATCAAGAAAAGGAAACATTACTAACTCGGCTAATTAAAAATTACTACTTATTCAAATTCTCACCTACTTTGGAGGTCAAAAGGAGAAAGTTATTTGCTGCTAGGTTGGACCAAAAATTATTTAAACACTGGCCTCCTTTTAAGGACGTATTAAATTATTCTCTTTTATAAATATTTAAATTCACTTCAACAATTATTTAGATCTAGGGGAGGACAGACCTCTTATTTATTTATTTATTTAATTTTTTTTGCCACACTTGTATGATGATATCATAAACTATGAAAACAGATCAAGAGATTAAACAAGTTGGAATAGCATTAGATCTACTAATGTTCTGTCATGCAGTTTTCTGATGAATTGTTAGCTAGGTTCACGTCTAAAGGCATGTATATATATATATATAATATATATATACACACACCCCCACCCCACTTATATGCGTTTATGAGTAGAAAATGCAGGGGAGGAGGACTAGTGGATTACCACATCCTCTTGAAGCTAATGCTGTAATGCATGCATGCATATATATATATATATATATATATATATATATATAATAAACTGCAGGGATAAAGTAGAGAGAGAGAGTTCTCGATCATGTCAGAGACTCAGACAAGAGCCAACTATTATTGAATAATCGGATCCAATAGGAACATGCATTGGATGACTGACATGTTCATTGCTTTGATGTGGGTTTTTCTTTTTTGAAATTTTTGCAGGGCATGTTTGTGTGTTTTGCAAAGTTATAGCTGTTTCCTTCAATCTTCTAAAAATAGTTATTAAAAATTCAGAAAATTTTGTTAGGTTTTTTATTCTAACAAACAATTCTCAAAAACAAAAAACTATATAAGAATCTATTTTTTTTGTTGGATCTTGAAAAAACAATTATCAAATCTGTTAATGAAACACTTTTTTAATACAATATTATAGTTTTAAGTTCTCAGAAAACAAAAATATGTTCTCTAAAAATTGAACAAAGTAAATCCATACTTTTTTCATGATATTTTTAAAAAAATTGTAATTAAACAAATTTATGTACAAATTTCTAATTTTTATAGAAGTCATTGAAAAAACCGAACCCAACTAAGCTTATATTATTCCTCCACGGTCCTTGGTCCTGTGTTTCTTTGAAAGTGCTATATTTTTTTACAATATTCTTTAATTTTCTAAATGACTAATGAAGAATTTTTCTTAAATTAAAAACATTGAAACAATTTAAAACCCTGGTAGTCAAGCCGCCTCACTCCAGTCTTATTGGGTTAGTCATTGCATTGTACCGTAAAATAAATGTTTAGGAAAATTATAA